AAAAAAAAAAAAAAAAAAAAAGGTATGATAGTTTCTCTCCTGAAGTGTTTTCTGGCCAAGTGAGGGAAAGGGAATATTTAGGGTGGGTGACATTGGTTAGCATTCTTTATATGCCACAGCCTTGATAAACCTTGCTTTGCTGGGTATTTGTTAATTTAATTTGTAGCACATGGCCAAAGCATGTAAGCCCAGAGCCTCAATTTTACATATTAAGGACAGTTTTTTTTAAGTGATTTTATTATTTTCTTTTGGGAATTCTAAGCAGATATATTTCTTAACAATATTTTGTGACCACTAGACCAAAAACCCAAGTACAATAGAATAAGAAAATAAATTTATAATTGTCATTCTTGCTGAATTGAATAACATTAAAATCAGTTAAATAAGTAAAAAAATGCTATATTAAGACAGAATCTCAGCAATTCTTAATTCTAATAATCCTGTATACATACATTTTTAAGAATGGTCAGTAACACAGTTGAAAATATGCTATGTAAAATGCATGCGTAAATCCTAGCTCAAATTGAGAATCACTAGCTGATTAGCCCAAATCCATCTCCATTTCTGGAAAAATAATTTAAACATTTGAAGAATAAGTCTTCTTAATTATGTATTGGTAGATATGTCACTGTAAAAGCTTTATGGAAAAGTATTCAAAAGACGCTTTAACAAGCTTACTGTTTCTAATAAGAACTGATTGTAATATTGCTTGACATTTCAGCTGTTCATCATAGCATTCAACCTAATGCTGTAAGCTTGTAAGCTGTCAGGTAGAAACAGATGCTAAAAGGTGTGTGTACATAATATCCATTATATCCATTAGGGAGTACTGGAGGTGCTAGTAGGCATAGAAATGCCATGTGCTGTACACTCTGTACCACCTTACTGAAAATGAATGGGTTTTAAGACTGAATTTCAAAATGAACTGCGGAATGGCAAAATGTATCACTGTCCTTTTAAACATAAAATGCAGAATTTTCCTTTTGGAAAAAAAAGGGGGGGGCTTAGTTATACACACCAAAAATACTGTGATGGTTCCGTTCAGATGTGACTAACAGTGATGAGAAATGAGACATTCAACAGCCGGTGCAGATGCTCCTGTTTCTTGTTTGTTTTCCCTCTCCCACTAAACGCCAGCTCTTTGGGTGGAGGCAAATGAAACGAAATGCTCCTCCCACCACTATCTTCACCCTGATGTGCCTTTGTTCTTTTTCCTGCCAGCATTCCACATAAGACTATCAAACCCCTATCTGCAAAATTATTTTTACAGCTCCTTCTGCACTGAATATAATTCATAAAATCTTCTGCATGCTGAAGAGTAGAAACTGATTACATCTAGAAAGAGAGGCAATTCATGCTGTAAAATGTGAAATGATATAAACGTTTCCCACCAGGAAAAACCAAATCAAAATAAAATTTCAATCCTTTGAATCATCACGTTGACACTTATCTATCAATCTATATATAGAAGAGGAAGAGAGATGAAAAAAAGGCAAAAGTTTCTCTCACTGTAAATGAACAAGAACCTCTGTAGACAAAGACAAAGACATAACCAGACCGGGTATTAGGCAATTTAGGAAAATGTCAGAGAAGTCTGTGCCTTGCAGGCTGTGAGCCTGTGGAGAAAGCATTGTGTGGCCTGGGCCTAAATCTGTGGCTCCCTGTTTAGGCAGCTATTTCTCTAATTAACCACACAAACATTTTTATCTATTTTCATTTATTTATCTATAATAGTCACATACAATCTTGTGTTGCTATTTGTCTTTTTTATTATACACATATATAATAAACATATAATATAGATAAATACATAATAAAATTATATAAATATCTTCTTAACTAAACTTCAAGCTTCTCTACAGGCAGCACCAAGTTGCTCATGAATTGTTTGAATGGTTACATAAAAATGACAATACTTGTCTGTTTTAAATTTAATTGCAAGGAGGTTACTTCTATTTTCCAGGGTAAGACTCTAGCAGGGAGAAATAAGGAAGTAACAGAAGACTGTGACAGCTGGAGTGAAGCTATCCAATTACTAACCACAATGATTAACAGATAGATATCCACTTCATATTATGACTGCCATGTTAGCTTAAAGTTTACTAGGTCATGGTTCCATTTTGTGATGGGAAAAGAAGAGAAGGGCAGGGCCAGCCTCAGATAGAATTCTGGTAAAAGAAAGGTGGTTTCTGCCACCACCATATTTTGTCATACTCTAAACTGAATATGAATTTAAGATACTATTTGGATAATGAAATTTTGTAGATAAGTAGTAATTTTACTTGAAATAACACAGTTTAAAATATTCCATTCACTCAAAAGTAGGCAGAAAAAGAAAAGAGGAATTAAAAACAGATGGAACGGCTCAGCACCCGTAGCACAGTGGTTATGGTGTCAGTTACATACACCAAGGCTGGCAGGTTTGAACCCAGCCTGGGCCAGCTAAACAACAATGGCAACTGCAACAAAACATAGTCTGGGCTTGGCGCCTATAGCTCAATTGGCTAAGGCGCCAGCCACGTACACCTAAGGTGGCAGGTTCGAATCCCCAGCCCAGACCCGCCAAACAACAATGATGGCTGCAACCAAAAAATAGCCGGGTGTTGTGGCGGGCGCCTGTGGTCCCAGCTACTTGGGAGGCAGAGGCAGGAGACTCGCTTGAGCCCAGGAGTTGGAGGTTGCTGTGAGCTGTAATGCCACGGCACTCTACCCAGGGGAACAGCTTGAGGCTCTGTCTCAAAAAAAAAAAAAACCAAAAAAAACCCCCCAAAAAAACATAGTCTGGCATTGTGGCGGGAGCCTATAGACCCAGCTACTTGGGAGGCTGATGCAAAAGAATTGCTTAAGCCCAAGAGTTTGAGGTTGCTGTGAGCTGTGACACCACAGTACTCTACCAAGGGCAACATAGTGAGACTCTGTCTCAAAACAAAAAGAAAAAAAGAAACAAAAAAAACCCAGATGGAACAAATAGGAAACAAACACCAAGAATGCATAATTAAACTCAATCACAGCAATTATTTCATTAAATGTAAATGGAGTCAATTGAAAAGCACAGATTATCAACTTGGACTGAAAAAAACAAGACCTAATAATATACTGTCTACAAGAGAACCACTTTAAATGTAAAGACACAAATACATTGGAATTAAAACAGATACAAACACTGCATTAGAAAACTGGTGGGGCTATGTTAATAGACAGTAGACTTCAAAAAAAGACTATCACAGAGATAAAGGGGGCATTTGATAATTATAAGAGGCAATTCACCAAGACAATACAGCAATCTTAGATGGGCCTGGACCTAGTTAGAAAGTTGCAAAATGAATGAAGCAAAAATGGTCAGAACTTTCTGGAAGGTGAAATTAACAAATTTAGAGTAATTACGACTTTCTAAAAGGAGAAATTAACAATTTATAGTAAACCCTCTTTTAATGATAAATAGAACAAAAATTCAATAAAGTTACAAAAGATTTGAACTTTATAAAATTGACATAAATGACATTTATAGAAAGAAAACTATACCTAATAATGGTAGAAAATACATTTCTTTTCAAGTGAAACTTTGCAAGGTAGAACATAAATGCTGGGCTACAAAACAAGTCTCAATAAATTCCAAAGTATGGAAATCATATAGAGAATGCTTTTTGACTTTAATGGTATTAAATGTTAATACTTCAGTGAATTGACTCATTAAGTCCACTTTGTTTAATATTAATATGGCCCTACCAACTATCTAACATAACACTGTGTAGGGCATACCTTTTATAAAATTTTAGTCTATTTATTTGTTTATACTGAAAGTGCTTCTTCTACCCCATGATTGCATTAATGTTCACAGCTATGATTTAATAAAAAAAAAAGAAAGAAAGAAAGAAAGTGCTTCTTAGTCCCAGCTACTTGCGAGACTAAGGCAGGAGGATTGTTTGAGCCCAAGAGTTTGAGATTACTATGAGCTACAATGATGCCATGGCACTCTACCCAGGGCAACAGAGTGAGACTGTCTCAAAAATAAATAAATAAAGTACTTGTCTTATAAGTGGCATATTGTTGATCTTTGCTTTTTTATCCAAACTTATGATAGTATCCAGAAAATTCCCAAATATTGAGAAATTAAGCAATACACTAGTAAATAACTTATGGGCCAAAGACTAAATCTTAAAGGAAAATAGAAAATATGTTGAACTGAATGATAATGAAATCTCAAAATATCAAAATTTGGAGGATTCAAATAAAGCAGTCTTTATTTATTTATTTATTTTTTGAGACAGAGTCTCACTATGTTGCCTTCAGTAGAGTGCTGAAGTGTCACAGCTCACAGCACCCCCAAACTCTTGGGCTTAAGTGATTCTCTTGCCTCAGCCTCCCAAGTAGCCAGGACTACAGGCGCCC